AGCACGATTGTGCTTGGAAGTAAGTCAATCAGAGCTAATATTCAAAAAGTTACATCCCCACAAAGATCCCTCCAAGCCAACGCACGAATACCAGTGATTGCGTATTCCAGAGAATTCCAGTCATCCACGTATACCCTGGTACTGTTTCTACAGAGGAGTCATTATCCAAAACGCAATCACCCACAACATCAAGACCACAAACACAACAGGAAATTCGAAGTATCGATTGTCTTGTTTCCCATCGAGACCTGTTTGCCACTCCAAGAAATAATCCCCGATCTAACTCCTGTCCATAGGAATAGAAAAGGAACGCATCTGTCAGCGCAACGAGCACCTAGCAGGATTCCAAGACGAACGACCGAATCGGAAGACAAGAATTCATTCTGTTTGCTCAGAAGAAATCGAGCTGATAATCCTTTGCTCAACCATAGCAAATTACTTCTGCTCAGTCCATTTCGAAACAAGAACAAGCAGTCCTAGTCATCTCTTCTCTTTTTTTTTTGTCTTGATGAGCTTGATACAGAGATGATGTTAGTTTATGCTTTTGTTGGTTTGGTTAGTAATCTGTGTTTTGTAGTGACAGATCCAGTGGCGGGGCTCCACTTGGTTTCGGTCCCGCTTGAAAAAGTGGTCCCAGGATTGCTCAATTGCCACGCCGATGGTTGCTCTCGTCTGGTCAATGTTGTCAACATCCTTCCAGACAACCTTGGCAGCTTTTTCCAATTCTTCCTCGGTTGACACGTCCATCCGAAGGCCGTAGTCATCATCACGATGGAACGCCACAACTTCATTCAAGTAATCATCGTCTCCGTCACTTGCGCTCGTCATTGTTGCTCTTGACCTTGTTGCTCTTGACTACTGCTCTTGCTTTGTTGTCAGCGTGCGTATTGTCGTGTTGACAGTCTAATGCGTCCATAGTCTACTCGCATCGTCTGTTTGCCCTCAATCAAGCGCAAAACCTTCGTCGGAGAGTTCATCTCGCTCCAAAACGGATCTAATTCACCACAGAATCTTGCCCAAGAACATGAAATCGCTAGTTTAGCCTCTATCAAGCCTCTCTGAGAGCCCATCGCAGCAGCACTGGACACTCCTAGAACAGTCTGTGAGTGGCGGGGAAGAATCTATAGTGTCATGGTTGTGTGTTGAACCCCATGAAAGCGAGTTCCTCGGCAGTTGATGGCATTGGACGTATCTTGTCGAGACGACACGGTGAGTCCCGGATCCCCATCGAATCCTGAGTGTGGATATCGGCCGCCTCAGATCACACGAGAGGCTGCCTTTGTGATAACGTGATAACAATCAGATCTTGAGGTCTCACATCCGCTTGGAACTATTTTCCATTTGATCTCGAGGTCACATCCACTTGAAACCATTTTCAATTTGACAGTAGAGGAGGATCAACGTCGTGGAAGCTTTGGCTCCTCCGAAGATTTTGGGCGGCCAGCTTTTATTTTAACGGGGAAGCGACAAAAAAAAAAATATCTCGACCGCTGTCTCTAGCTCCCAACACCGCCACTTTACTCCGTTTGTCGTCTCTTCTGATGGTCTCCTTGGGCCGAAGCTGAGGCACTGCCACACTTATTTCCTCTTTGCTCGCTGCAAAGTGGGAATGCCCTTTCTTAGTGGTGTGTGGGTACCGACTCATTGAAAGGTACTGGTAATGAAAATTTCAAATTGACCCTAGCCATTATTTCTTTCTATTATCTGTTTGAGATGAGTGTTAAACCTATAGTTGCCATTTGAAAGTAGAGCATTAACAGAAACTACGGACCATATACCCACAAGTGAAGGTTTTGGCGAGCTTAATGCAAACATTTTTAAAAAATGACCAATTTACTTAAGTGACATGACTGAAAGAAGGGGTATACACGACTGAACTGGTGCAGGTTTCAAAATCGAAAATCGGTCCAAAACGCCGTGTTGACAATTGGGGAGTGCTTGTTCTCCACAGGAAAGTGACAAAATCGCCAAACAAATGTTACAGCCCCATGCAGAACAACAAGGGGAATGAGGCCATAGCATTTGTTTTTATGTTTTTACATCTTCTGCGGTCAATTTATTCCACTCCCCAATTACATTACCACACTCTTTCAATGCGTCGGTACGTTGATGCTAGGCTGAGCCTAAAAAAAAAACTGAACGTCTAATAACGGATTCAGACGAGATGTGCTTGAGGACTACCCACGAGCTAAGGCTCGGGTATTTCCCACAGTAAAGTCTGCTCACCGGCCACACTGGCCTCCTGAGAGGGTGCGACGCCTGTTAGCTATCTAAGGATTTGTACACTGAGGTCGGAGCCATGATTCACCACAAATCACGAGCTCTTTGTTGAAGAGAGTTGGGGTTGGTAAAGAAGTTTGAGAGGGTAGGAGGGGTAAGGAAAAAGGGATGGTAGGAATGTCCGACTATCCTGTTTCCAGGGCTGTGGTGTAGTGACTCTCTTGTAACACAGGTTCCCATGCGTTCAAAAATTGAATGATGACTGGTGTATTCAGTTGCATGCGCGATTCGAGTGGTATCTGGAATAGCCATTCTAAATGTTCGGGGACTTCTTGCTGGTATGCTTCGTAGAACTGAGTGAGTTGTCGGGTTGCTTGTGCTTTCTTTGCTTGTGACTTGGTTCTCATGTCGTGCCCATGTCTGTCTTGGTTGTGCATGTCCCAGAGTTTCCACCATTCTTTATAGATAATGTCAATGAGTCCAGTGAGCCATGTGAGTCCATTGTTGCGTTTGGTTGCGGTCTTTTTCATGTTCAAATATCGGTCTTGTTCCTGACTGAATTGTTTAGAGATTCTCCCCTTTAACAGATGATGCCATCCAATGGCATCTTGTGCTTGTTTCAGTGTGTCCCATGAAGGATCTTCTTGGATTGTTGTTGGGTTTTGGTGATGTAAACATACTTTGAGGCCTGATAGGAGAAGCCCCTGGATTTTTGGAGAGGTGTCCTTTTTCTGGACTTATGCTAGGACTGCACTGTAGCATTTCTCGCGCCATTTGATTCTTTCAGGGCTGCTGCATTCCATCAGATGGTGCCTTGTTTCTGAAGGGTTGTTGCATGATGAGCATCCTGCATAATACTTGGGGTTTGTTTTATGGAGGAATGCTCCGACAGGTAGGACTTTGTTGAGGTATTTGACCATTGTTGGACGATGATTATCGTGTCTTCGCAAAGCTCTTCCATGTGCGGTCCAGTCAATGTCATTGAATGTGTCTTCTGACCAGTTGTAGTCTTTCATCAATTCTTTCTGTTTGAGCAGCGGGTAGGTTCTGGCATGTTTCAGCTCTTGTTTGAGATTGAATGTGACTGTTCCTTGTTTCAATTCAACTTGGCATCGACTGGTGGGTAAGATGGGAACTCTGGTGAAGTCGGTGTCCGAGTGAGCTTGGAGCCATGTGTCGGCTAGCTTATCGGCATCTACATTCAGCTGAGCTTTCAGCGGGAGTTGATCATATGGTTTGTTGTCGTCTTGATGTCCCTTTATGTGATGGATTGAGGGCCTGGATGCTTCGTCGAGGTCTTCTGACATTGTGTGTCTGATTTCTGCAATGATGTCCCACTCAGAGCCCAGTGTGGTGTTGGGGTATATTTTGTGCAATGATGTGTGCTTGGTGACTACTTCTCCGATGCTTTTGTTGTCACAGAGGTGCTCATGCTCGGTGAGAATCTCTTGTTTGTTGGGTGAATGAATCTTTTGGAGCTGCGCTAAGAACCTCATTGCTGAGAGGATTCCGTATCCTTCTGCTCTGTAGGAGTTGATTTTGTAACCGAAGGCTGGTCCACAGCAGCGGGCTAGGCGTGTGCCATCATGTTTGCTAATGATCCATGCAAATGAGCCTTTGGGGTTGGGTGATGAGCCGTCACTGGATATGATGCATGGTTCGTTGCAGAGGGTTTCCCATAGTTCTGTCTCCTCGACTAAAAGCTCAAGGTGTTCCAGCATTTTTCTCTCCCATTCTTCAAGGTGTGGAATGGCTTCCATAATTGTTGTTGGCTACCTCAGCATGTTCAAGAAAGTGTAAATTGTGCGCACTGCCGAAGTAGAAGTGCCGCAGGAAGATACAGACCAGAGCTACGAGTAGTATCGCAACGGGCGTCGCACACTTCGATCGAATGATTGCATTCGAACTCTCGTGGCTTCAACCAACAGCCGTGCCTCTCTTCGCAGTTGTTGCTCTTCTTGTGGTCATTGCTTCCAACATGCCAAGGTTGGTTATTGCCAAGAAAGCTTGGACCGGTCGCGAAGGTCTTAATAGAATCCGTTGGCTTATTTCGAATTCACAAGAGGCAGAACGGCAGAACCAAGGAGAGGGGCAATGTCATGTTGATAGTTCTCGAACGACGAGTAACAGTAGTCTGCGTGCTCACTAGAGTACTATTCTTCACTTTTTGCTGCATTTGATAAATAAATTATTCAAATTAGGATAGTGACATGATGACTGACTGAGTCACTCGACTCCATGCCAGAGCAGAGTTGGAACTTGACCCCTTCCACAGGCATCCGAAACAAATGATAATTGAAGTTTTCTCCAAAGACATAATGCCGATTCTCTCGCGGCAACCACACCACAGCCCACAGCCCACAGCCCACAACGCAAAGAGTTGACGGTCATTCCAAACCAGTTCGAGTTCATCCACACTTGGAAGTCATCAAATGCCGACACAGTCTTTGACGGGATTATCGATCGTTGAATGCATGGGCAAAACAGAGGCGAAATTTGTTGCCACCGTGCCACCCACACTGCGAGTGTTGCCTTCATCGTCCCCAACAGCACTCTTTTCTCGACCATAGCTTGACCATAGCTTGACCATAAACAAACCAACAAATCATCACCATGTCATCCACCCATCCTCGTCTTCCAAATAGCCAAGAAGAGGCCGCCTTGGATAGTGATCTGTCCTTGAATCAGCTTGTCCTGGAGCGAAGCCAAACTGCCACCAAGACTGCGGAAGACATCAAACAGGAAGAACTACTCAGACGAGCAGCAGAAAAAAAGAACAATCTGGCACCCACAGTTGCCAGACGACCAGATGCCAACAGAAGGAAGAAAGCGCCGGCTACTGCTACCACTACAGCTGTTTCTATCAGTACGAACGCTACTGAGGATGATGATCAAAGGCAAAAAGATGAGCTTGCCCTGTTGAGAGTTGTAGCTGAGCGATCTGCCGCTGCCAGGAGAGAAGAGGCAGAAAGTGCTAGCAAGAGCAACAACCCTGCGGAGATTGGAGCACAAGCTTTTAATCCCGGTGATTATGTTTCTGAAAAAGGGGACACCATCAATCTCATGGCTATTGCCGCGCAAAGAAGTGTTGATGATGATGCTACGCCCAGCATGGCAGCAACAGCAGATAATACGGCTCTTCCTGATGCTGCTGGTGATTCTGTTGGTGATTCTGTTGCACTTAATCCTGCATCAAATCCAGCTGCAGGCATTGAATATGACCACCAAACTGGGCGTCCCATGACCAAGCACAGCCTACCACCAGGCTCTGTTACTCCTGGTGCTTATTCCGGAGCTCCAGGAGCGAACTACCAAGCCGTGGAGCCGGTGAGATTGGATGTGCTGGGACCATCTTCTCCGCCAATGCAAGAGACGCCACAAGGACAAATAGAAGAGGCAGAAGTCAATACTATGGAGAGTTTGGAGGAGAAGAAAAGAAATCCGGTGGCAGTGAGGGCAGCAATTGCTGTACTGGCGGTAGTTATCATTCTGGCCATTACCATTCCACTGGCTGTTGGAGGGAAAAATGGAGAATCCCCCAAAATGGACAACACCCAAGTAACCAGTATTGATAAGGCGCTACTTCCCAATGCCCCAAATTCCACCTGGGAGTCCATTGTGACGGATCAAAAATCACTTCAATTCAAAGCCTACACCTGGCTGACTCGAGATCCCAACCTACAGACATATGAAAGCTGGCAAAAGGAACAGAGATTTTCTCTTGCCACCTTCTACTACGCATGTAATGGCCCTAAATGGAGGTTCAAGGATCCTCAAGCACAAAATGAGTGGCTTAGCTATGGAACCAGTGAATGTGGGTGGGGTGTCTTCCACACCGGCCCATTATTGAATGGTGTGCATTGTTCCACTGGTGACCGTGTGACAGAAATCAAAGTAATGGAACAGCGAGGTTTCACGGGATCCGTTCCATCGGAATTATCATTGCTTGGAAGCTTGAAAATATTGGACTTGTCTGAAAACATTATGGCCAACCACCTGACAGATCTGCTGCCAATCCATGAGTCAGAGCCTTTCCAGTCCCTGGAAGCACTTCATTGCGTAAACTGCCGGCTAGTGGGAAGCCTACCTCCAGAGCTATTTGAATGGACCAATCTCCTAGTATTGGACCTGTCCAACAACCAGATATCTGGCCCTCTCCCTTTGGAAGTTAGTTTGATGGCAGCTTTAGTAGACTTGGACTTGGGCAGCAACCAATTTGTGGGAGAGGTCCCATCTGAGGTAGGGCAGTTAACAGCATTGACTTCCTTGGACTTGAGCCGCAACCAATTTGTGGGAGAGGTCCCATCTGAGGTAGGGCGGTTAACAGCATTGACTTCCTTGGACTTGAGCCGCAACCAATTCATGGGAGAGGTCCCATCTGAGGTAGGGCGGTTGACAGCATTGATTTCCTTGGACTTGGCACACAACCAATTGGTCGGAGAGATCCCATCTGAGTTGGGGCGGTTGACAGCATTGACTTCTCTGGATCTCTTTGGGAACCAACTTTCAGGCATCATTCCTTCCGAGATTGGCTTGTTGTCTGCATTGACTCTTTTGGACCTTGCTGACAACCAATTTCAGGCAATCTTTCCTTCAGAACTTGGCTTGTTGACAGCCTCTGCTGATTTGTGGGTTGATTTGTTCGTGCAAGATGGCACCATTCCAACCGAAATAGGAGGGATAGTTGGAAAGACTTCTCTTGGCTGGTTGTCACCTTCAGTGTCAGGAGGCAGTATGCCATCCGAGATGGGCTTGGTGTCTTCATTGACTATGGTTCGCTTGATTTTAAAAAACTTATCTGGCAGCATCCCATCGGAAATTGGTTTGCTGACGAGTGTGACCAATCTTTGGTTGTCTGACAACACGTTTTCTGGCAGCCTTCCTACAGAACTGGGTTTACTGACAAATGTGACTTCCTTGGCCCTGAATACAAACCGACTATCTGGCAGCCTCCCATCGGAAATTGGGTTGCTGAGAAGCATGACTTCCTTTGGGATCAATGAAAACCAACTATCTGGCAGCCTCCCATCGGAAATTGGGTTGCTGACAAGCATGACTTCCTTTGGGATCAGTGAAAACCAACTATCTGGCAGCCTCCCATCGGAAATTGGGTTGCTGACAAGCATGACTTACTTGGGGATCAGTGAAAACCAACTATCTGGCAGAATTCCTACAGAAATTGGCTTGATGTCCAGTGTGAAAACATTGAGGTTCGATTTCAACCAACTGTCTGGCGGCCTCCCATCGGAAATTGGTTTGCTGACTCATTTGGCCTCCTTAGCTTTGTACGGCAACCAATTATCGGGCACAATTCTGTCCGAGCTGGGATTGCTGACAAGGCTGACCTTCTTGAGTTTCTACAGCAACCAACTATCTGGTAGCCTCCCATCAGAGCTGGGGTTGCTGACAAGGCTCAGCACATTGGGTTTGAGTAACAACCAATTCTCTGGAAGTGTCCCAAGCAGTTTGTGTTCCAATGTGGGTTTACGATTTTTCCTTGACTGTGCCCCAGATCCGTTTCCTGTGGAGTGTACTTGTTCTGAATGTACATGTAGTTGATTGGCATTGTGAACCATTAAGCCCCTGTAATGGTCCTGGATTTCTCACCCATGATCCCACAGAATCTAGTCCTGAATTTCGACTGTTCTTTACTAAGGGACTGATTCTCTATCTGAAGTGCTCGGAAGAATGAGCCATGTACCGTGCCAGCTGGCTGGCTAGCTAAGACTAAGAAATCTTTATAACGGATATGGCAGCCTCCCATCTGAAATTAGTTTGCTGACAAGTGTGACCAAATTGTGGATGTATGGCAATGGGTTTTCTGGCAGCATTCCTACGGAAATTGGCTTGCTGTCCAGTGTGAACTTCTTGGACCTCAGTAATAACCAACTTTCTGGCAGCCTCCCATCAGAGCTGGGGTTGCTGACAAGATTATCCTACTTGAGTTTTTACAACAACCAATTATCAGGTACAATTCCATCTGCGCTGGGATTGCTGACAAGGCTGACCACATGGGTTTGGATGACAACCACTTCTCTGGAAGTGTCCCAAGCAGTTTGTGTTCCAACTTGGGTTTAGAAATTGTCCTAGACTGTGACCCGGCTCCATTTGCTGTGGAGTGTGCATGTTCTGAATGTACATGTTGGTAGTCTTGGGGCTAAATTACTCATTAGGCTAGTATGGCCACAGGGTGGCTTTATTAAGGACGATGGAATGTACATGTCTGTAGTCTACACAATGTACAAGTGGCTGGTGGCACTCTTTATATCCTGTATAGACAGAACAAAGACTGGTTCTTGGTTGTTGGCTGGGACCGTAGCTGCTGTAGCTGGCAACCGGAAAGAAGAAGGGACTGATTCTCTATCTAGCTAGTGCTCGGAAGAATGAACCATGTACCATGCCAGCTGGCTAGCTAAAACAAAGAAATCTAAATCTTTATAACGATATGGTGCCAATGGAATGGACAAGCACTCCTGAAGCCTTGGGCAATTCCCCCAAGCCGAAGTGAGGGCTGATCTCACAGAGAGGTGGGGTAGCCAAGTCCTAAAGGGGGGGCTAGCTGGCTGCTCCCAATCTGCTCGGAAGCTAGCTATTAAAATAGCAGAACCAACACTTGCTCCTTGTGGCTATCATAGCGACAATAGAGCTGCCTAGCAAGCAAGCAGTAGCAGCAGTCCGACAACCAACCTGGAGCTCGAGCACGAGCCAATGTGTGCCTGCTAGCTAGAGCAGATTGTGGATTGCTCTGTATTGTGCGTAAAGGAATTAATGAGAAGTACTCCGCACGTCAGCAGAGCAAGTCACTTCATGTCATGATTTAATGTGGTATTCGATGGAACTAAAGGAGGACGAAGACTTATTAATAGTCTTCTTTATTCTTTAAAAGAGTGAAATATCAAGATCCTTGAGGATCAAGATGCCTACGTGTTGTGCGTGCTTACGGTCCTCCCGACATTGCGGGAATGCAGGTTGCAGCACAGCATACATGTAGCCGCAGGCGCAACATGTGCTTGTGTTCCTTGCCAAGCACATAATATTCCATACCTTTACCTTCGTCAACTACTGGGTTGTAACGTTGGTACCGCGGCAATGAAGCTGAAGAGGAACAATGACGGACAGGAAGCAGAGGATAGCAGTCCGTGGATCGATCATTCGTGCAAAGTTCTAGGGCAGTTCGGGAAGGGCTTAAAAGCCTGCAGGCTTATAGTGGCTTATAGTGGCTCCCTAGCTAGCTCCGAGTGACTGATCATCCGCAATCAATTAAATGGAGTTCTCAAATGACTACTATGATGACTGACTGAGTCACTCAACTCCGTCGCCGCCAAACGCATAACAAATGACAATTATTACTGTAAATGCTTCTCCAAAGTGCAGATTCTCTCCGGCAACCACAGCCAACAATGCCTCTATATATATTAATTAAAGAGTACCGGTACGCCTGGTTTGAAGGTCCTTCTTGACGGTCATTCCAATAAGTTCGTATTCATCCACACTTGGAAGTCATAATGCCGTTACAGTCTTTGACAACGGAAACGAAGTTTACGGCTTTGATCAGTGCAGTAACGGGAAAAGGAAAGGCGAAATTTGGTGGCACTCTCATTGCATGCCTCCAGATCGACCACGGTGTTGCCATTCACCCCAACAGCCGGTGGTGCTCTTTTCTCGACCATAACTTTACCTTAAACAAACCAGCAAATCATCACCATGTCACCCGCCCAACCTCACCTTCCAAATAGCCAAGAGGAGGCCGCCTTGGATAGTGATCTCTCCTTGAATCAGCTTGTCCTTGAGCGAAGCCAAACTGCCACCAAGACTGCGGAAGACATCAAGCAGGAAGAGCTACTCAGACGAGCAGCAGAAGAAAAGAAAAATAATCACAATGTTGGCGCTGTTCCGGCACCTGCAGTTGTTAGACGTCAATATGCCAATACAAGGAAGAAAGCACCTGATACTGTTACCACTAAAGCAGTCGGTACGAACACTACTGAGGATGATGATCAAAGGCAAAAAGACGAGCTTGCCCTTTTGAGAGTTGTAGCTGAGCGATCTGCCGCTGCCAGGAGAGAAGAGGCAGAATTGGCAGAAAGTGCTAGCAAGAGCAACAACCCTGAGGAGGTTGGAACGCAATCTTTCAATCCTGGTGATTATGTTTCTGAAAAAGGGGATTCCGTCAATCTCATGGCCATTGTTGCGCAAAGAAGTGTTGCTGTTGCTGATGATGCTACACCCAACATGACGGCAACAGCAGATAATATGGCTCCTCCTGATGCTGCTGGCAATGCTGTTGCAGTTAATCCTGCATCAAATCTAGCTGCAGGCATTGACTATGACCACCAAACTGGGCGTCCGATGACCAAGCACAGCCTACCACCAGGCTCTGTTACTCCTGGTGCTTATTCAGGAGCACCAGGTGCCAACTATCAGGCCGTGGAACCAGTGAGGTTGGACGTGTTGGGACCATCTTCTCAGCCAATGCAAGAGACACCACCAGGACAAATAGAAGAGGCAGAAGTCAATACTACTACCAAGACTTTGGAGGATAAGAAAAGAAATCCAGTGATGATGGGGGTGGCAATTGCTGTACTGGTGTTAGTTATCATTCTGGCCATTGCCATTCCACTTGCTGTTGGAGCGGCAAATGGAGAATCCCAAAAAATGAAGAACAACCAAGAAAGCAGTATCGATAAGGCGCTACTTTCCAATGCCCCTAATTCCACGAGGGAATCCATTGCTAATGATCAAGAATCACCACAATTCAAAGCATATGCCTGGTTGACTCGTGATCCCCACCTAGCAACCTATGAAGTGTGGCAACAGGAACAGAGATTTGCTTTGGCCACCTTCTACTACGCATGTGATGGCCCTAAATGGACGTTCAAATATCTTCAAGCCAAAAATGAGTGGCTTAGCTATGAAACCAATGAATGTGGGTGGGGTGTCTCCCGCATAGGCGCCATAGTGAATGATGTGTATTGTTCCTCTGGTGATCGTGTGACAAATATCAAAGTGTCAAAACAGAGAGGTTTCAAGGGATCAGTTCCATTGGAGCTATCATTGCTTGGAAGCTTGAAAGTATTGGACTTGTCTGATAACATTATGGCCAACCACATGGCAGATCTGCTGCCAATCCATGAGTCAAAGCTTTTCCAGTCCCTGGAAGTGTTCCGTTGCATTAACTGCCGTCTAGAGGGAAGCCTACCTCCAGAGCTATTTGACTGGACCAATCTCCAAGTCTTGGACCTGTGCAACAACCAGATAGCTGGCCCTCTCCCTTTGGAAGTTGGTTCGATGGCAGCTTTAGTAGACTTGGACTTGGGCCGCAACCAATTTGTGGGAGAGGTCCCATCTGAGGTAGGGCGGTTAACAGCATTGACTTCCTTGGACTTGAGCCGCAACCAATTCATGGGAGAGGTCCCATCTGAGGTAGGGCGGTTGACAGCATTGACTTCCTTGACTTGAGCCACCAATTTGGGAGAGGTCCCATCTGAGGTAGGGCGGTTGACAGCATTGACTTCCTTGGACTTGGGCCACAACCAATGTGCATGGGAGAAGGTCCCATCGTAATGTTTTGTTAATCGTGACAGCGACAACCGGAAAGAAGAAGGGGGTTGTGCTCTATCTCGCTCTCGGAAGAATGAGCCATGCACACCCGGCTGGCTAGCTAGTATCTAGCTAGCTAGAGCTACTGGTGGCAAGCATGCAGCAGCAGTCAGACCACCGACCACAAGCTCGAGCCGCAAAACCAACCCAACTTATTGTGGATGGTACATGTACTAGTGCCTGCATCATGGAATTAATGAGTACATCAACTTCATGTCATGATTTTTAAAATGTGGTCTTCGATGGAAGCCGAAGGAGGACAACGTCTTCCTTTTTTAATTAAGAGATGTGGGGGTTTCGAGTACTACCGGTAGTACCGTAGGGAAAGAGTGCTAGTGACATATAGCAAGATCCTTCAGGATCAAGGTGCCTACTGCACGTGTTATGCTCACGGTAATAGATCTACTCCCGAAATGGCCGGACTGCAGACTGCAGCAAAGCACAAGAGCTCAACATCTCAACATGTCCTTGTGTTCCTTCCCAAGCAAATAAATACTATTCCATACCTTTACCTTTATCTCATCGATGAAGTCGAAGAGGAACGACAAAGACGGGCATGAAGTAGAGGATGGCTTGTCTGGCTCTTCGGTCCACTCGACCAAACTCACCAAACGTCAGGCGCCGATTAGCAGGCAGTCGTTACCGTTGATCCACGAGATGCTGTCCAAGACTCGCAAGTCATTGCAGCTGAGTGCCAATACTGCTTCAGAGTATGCCGTCACGGCGGAAACGGCAGGTTGGAATCGGAGTACTGCTAGTAGCGACCATGGCGGTCGATCCTTTGGCAATTCCTGTAATAATACAACCAGTTCCACTTGTACCAGCCAAAATGGGGAGACAGAAGCACGACGCAGTTTTGGCTTGGTAACTCCAGAAGTTACGTTGGTACAGCCACATGCGGAACAGGAAAAGCAAGCACGGATTGACAAGGCGTTGCATTCCATCAACAAACTTCAATTCGAGTCAGTAGGATTAGTGGGACGATCCAAGGAGATTCAGATCCTCCAGCACCTCTTGTCATTGTCATTGCCCACCAAGAAGGTACTCCTGATTAGTGGGGCGTCCGGGTGTGGCAAGACGGCGCTCGTCAATACGGCACTCCAAGAACCCGTTTGGGCAAAACAGGGAGTTTTTGTACGGGGGAAATTCACAAACAATCATCAACGTGATACTACCAGCACATGTAGTACCAATATCAATAATCACCCTCTCTCCGGGATTGGCAAAGCCTGCAATCAGCTGTGTACCGACATGGTACAAAGGTATCAGCAAAGTCAGCCAGACAGGCTCTGCAAGATGCGGGAGCAATTGGAAGCACAGATTGATGCACCCCTGCTATGTCTTCTGGAAACCACCATACTACCCAACCTGGTCCATATCTTGGAATTCTCTCTTCCGTCAACATCATCCTCCGACTGCCAACAAGATCGTCCGAATGACAAGACACCAGAAGATCATGGAACCACCACACGACGAGCCCGACGACCATCTCTGCGACGTCGCAATACCTTCAACCAGAGCCAACTACAAGGGTTCATTCGCAGTGCCAGTCGCCAGCAACATCCAAACACCACCAATCGACGAGCCAGACGGCCGTCCATGGGATTCCCGGAAAGTATTTCTTCCTACGAGAGCAGTTTGACCAGTGGTGGTGTTGATCCTGTCACAATAAGCGCCAAACGACGATTGGCCGCCACCGTGGACCCGCGTCACTCCAAACTATTGCTACAATACGCCATTCGAGCATTCTTACGAATCATGGCCGCAGATCTGGGTGATGGATCACCTCTCGTCTTTGTCATGGATGACCTGCAATGGAGTGATATGCCATCCATGGACATGTTTCAGGCCATTGCCACAGATCCAGAGATGCCTCACAATCTAATCTTGGTCGGATGCTTTCGGTCCAACATTATTAGTTCATCATCACAAGACGATGGTACCGACAAGAAGAAAGACGACAATCATCTGGATGCCGACAATAGCAACGTTGATACCACGGCAGAAGAACCGCAAACTCAATCCCCTCCTCTTGTCCGAGCCATTCAACAACTCACAGAAGACAGCCAAAAAGACGATGCTTCCTTTCATCTGACCCAAATCGCACTTGGCAATCTATCCCTCGAATCCGTCCAACAACTCATTGAAGAACTCTTGTCCGTTCCGCCATCTCGAGCCTTGGAGTTGGCACAGATATGCTACAAACGAACACTGGGGAATGCATTTTTTGTCAAGGTCTTTTTGAAAATGTTGCACGAAATCAACATTTTACAGTTTGATCTCGGGTCGTTCTCATGGACGTGGCACGACAAGGCCGTCGAACGAGAATCGGCCGCCACCGATAATGTCGTCTCCTTGATACAAACCAAACTAAAACGAGATGAAGGGCAGCGTGGACCCATGAGTCTCTTGCTCCAAGTCGCGTCCCTGCTGGGGAGTAGCTTTGATCGTCGTGCCATTCTCATTATTTGGGAGGGACTGCAAAAGGCGGCAGCGCAGCATCATGATCCCAGTACGAATAATGAAGGCAACGTATACAAGCACATTCCAAAATACCGCGATTGTCTATTGTTACCGGCCAATAATACGGATGATACTGTCGATGCCTTGCTCGAACAGGCAGTAATTGAAATGATGATTGAGAAGGTCGGAGACCAAAACGCGGCAACATCGTCCAACGATGCAGGAGGAGGAGACGTATACTATCGGTTTGGGCATGATTCGATACAAGAAGCCTGCTTGAGCCGTGTCCCTTTGGCAGAGCTGGACGAATTCCGTAGCATCATGGGGCATTGCCTTCACCAGAACTTGTTGCCTGACGAGCTCGAACAATGGCTCTTTGTGGTGGTGGATCTACTCAACAATAATGACAGCGGAAACTGCAGCGTGGATGTGGCTGCCTTGAATGCGCGAGCGGCCGAAAAGGCCAAAGAATTGGCAGCCTTTCGATGCGCCGTTCGTTACGTCGAATACGGCATTCGAAACATGAATGCCAGTGCCGACATTATGTGGAGCCATCATGCCGAACTGGCAATACTGTTGCACTCGCTCGGAGCCGAGGCCGAAGAATGTG